AATATGGGTTGCAGGGTGGGGAGGCTTTCCAAGATGGGGGCGGTGGGGCGCGGTGGCTCACACCTGTAATCCTAGCACTCTAGGGGTGGCGCCTGTGGCTCAGTGAGTAGGGCGCCAGCCCCATATACCGAGGATGGCGAGTTCAAACCCAGCCCGGGCCAAACTGCAACAAAAAATAGCTGGGCGTTGTGGCGGGCGCCTGTGGTCCCAGCTACTCAGGAGGCTGAGGCAAGAGAATCGCTTAAGCCCAAGAGCTGGAGGTTGCCATGAGCTGTGATGCCACACACTCTACCAAAGGGCGATAAAGTGAGACTCTGTCTCTAAAAAAAGAAAAAAACAATCCTAGCACTCTGGGAGGCCAAGGCAGGAGGATCATTTGGACACAGGCGTCCCAGACCAGCTTGAGCAAGAGAGAGACCCAGACCCAGTCTCTACTACAAATAGAAAAATTGAGGGGGGAGGGGGAAACGCCCTGTCAGACACCTGCTGTCCCAGTTACTAGGGAGGCTGAGGCAGGAGGATTGCTTGAACCTAGGAGTTTGAGGTTGCTGTGAGCTAGGCCCAGGCCATTGCACTCTAGCCTGGGTAACAAAGTGAAATTCTGTCTCATTAAAAAAAAAAAAAAAAGAGTTGGTATGGAATATTGAGATCCAAGCTGGGGAACACACTACCAGGAAGTATAGAGAAAGTCTTGTCTTGGGGCAGCTTGCTCCTTGGGCCCCATGACTATTGTGGTCTTAGATAGTAGCCACTGGCCACCACTGTGTGAGTTCAAAACCCCCAGCCTTTTCTTGAGGTGAGGTCTGTTCCCAGGAGGGTGGCTGTCCTCCCCTCTTCTATCCTGGCTACCTTTCTAGAGAGGCCACATTCTTAGAAAGAAGCTGTCACCTATTAGTAGGGCCCTGGAGCCAAAGCAGGGTGTCTGGTAGTAGTGTGGTTCTCATGTGCCCAGTTCTGCAGCCTCAGGCCTCAGCTTCTTTCTCTCCCCTACTTTCTCAGACCCTGGGAACATTAAGAGAGGATAGCATTGTCACTCTTAACTTTGTCCCAGGTGAGCTACTGGGCTCCAGGAAGGATTTAGAGTTGAAGAAGTTGGGAACTCAGACCTGAGACTAGGCATTAAGAGGGTAGACTAGACATTAAGAAGTTGGGAATTCAGACCTGGGACTGGATTGCGTGTGTGTGTGTGTATGTGTGTGTGTGTGTGTGTGTGTGTGTGAGAGAGAGAGAGAGAGAGAGAAACACAGAAAGCAATAGACACTGACTTTTTGGGGGTGTATTTCTACATGGGGCCTAGGGAGAATATATAAGTATTTCTATTTGAGCACACATACATATGTACACATATATCTTGGTGTGTCCATGAGTCAGTCTTTATATATGTGCATACCTGTATATGTGTTACTCTCTATATATAAATGTGCAAAATCTGTGAGTCAGTATGTATTTGTGTAAGTGTGCATACATTTGCATATCCCTGTATATTTTAGACATGCCTGTATGTCTGTGTATATCTGTGAATGTGTATATCTCTGTAGCTTTGCACTGTTATATTTCTGAATCTCAGTGTGTACTCGTATACGTATTCTTATGTGTCTTTAACCAGTATGTACATGTGTCACTGTGTGTCTGAGCACACCTATATACAGGTCCATGTTTGTGTAGGTAGATGTGTATCTGTACATTTGATAGGATGTTGTTTCAGGAGCAAAACAATAGCAGTTTTCCTAGGTGTGTTGTGTGTCTAAGGGTGATGGAGTTGAGGGAACAGGGCAGGCTCAGAGGGCCCTGGGAAGCTGGGTTGTGGAGTAAACGGTAGGGATGAGTCCCTTAAATATGAGCAGGCCTGTGATAACAGGAGCAAGATGCTGGTGCTGTCAATGAGCCTCACCAATGCTGGGCCCCAGGAATGGTTTTTGGGTGATAAGGCCTGCCTTCACTAGAGAGTCTGTTCATCTGTCTTGGATGGAGATTGGGACATGCAACTCTGAATCATAGCATGTTAAGTGGTCATTCTTTCTAGGGGCATGGAAGGGGAGCTGCCTGTGGATAGGGCCTTACACAGGTCCCTGCACTGCACACTACAGTAAGCCAATTCTTGATACTATGCTTCTAGAGGAAGAGTGGCATCTGGCTGCTGGGGTGGCAAGGACAGGCAGTAGATGGCTGCACTGGAGGCTCTAGGCATTTCAGCTGATTGCCAAGCCCCCTTTTATCATTCTTCACTTATCTCCCTGATGGGGAATGGACTGTAGCCAAACCCAGTGGCCCAACATCCTGCTAGCCAAAACCAGGGGTAGAGGGAGGGAAGGGGAAGGAGAGGGGCTACGACCTCTCCAGGCTGAAGCTTACTTCAGGCAGGCAAGGGTAGATAAGATGTCCCTCAAATCTCCAGGCACTATTTGTTATTGGGCCTAGATGTTCTACCTTTATATATATTTATTCCTTTGGCTGTTTAAGGCCTTCCAGTCTTAAACAGCCCTTGATTAAAAACAAATGCTCTTAAAAAAATACTCTTCAGAAATTCCCCAGAAATGTTGTCTACTAATACCCCTGGAAGGCTGATTGGCAACTTACTGAGAACAAGCTTTCGTGAGAAGGGACACAGAAGGGAAAGATGTGTGGAACTGGCAGTGGGCACACTAGGGTGGGGTGGGAGGTGGAGGAAAGAAGCTATTAAAAAGGAGATAATGAAACAGAGACAGTGCTTGCTGTGTTCACGGTTTCCAAGGAATTTCCCAGTATTCCTTGCAGCAAAGTTGGACTCTGCAGCATGCTACTGAATCTGGCCAATGGGGTGTGGTGGGAAGTGAAATAAGCCAATTCCAATCCTGGCCTTTAAATTATCCCTCTGATCCTCCAGTTTTCTCTTTCCCTGCCTCAGTGACCTGGAAGTCTATTTCTCAAATGGCACAGCTGCCAGAGAGGGGAGGGCTGTGTGACCTACTTTGTTGTATTAAACCTTGAGATTTTACTTACTCCTATAGCAAAACCCAGGTTAGCCAAACTAACACATATAAGAAAAGAAGGTGCCACAAATTTCTGGATTTTTCCCAGACATAGCACAGAAGTCAAGATTCCAGACTCCAGGTTCCTAAAGTTCTAGGTTCAAGTCCCAGTTCTCTGATTTTGGTTTCTTAAGCCTTCTTTCTTTCTTTTTCTTTTTCTAAAGAGACAGAGTCTAACTTTGTTGCCCTTAGGGACAGAGTCTTATTTTGTCACCCTCAGTAGAGTGCTGTGGTATCACAGCTCACAGCAACCTCCAGCTCTTGGGCTTAGGCAATTCTCTTGCCTCAGCCTCCCAAGTAGCTGAGACTACAGGCACCTGCCACAATGCCCAGCTATTTTTTTGTTGCTGTTTGGCCAGGGTCGGGTTTGGATCCCCCACCCTCAGTATATGGGGCCAGCGCCCTACTCACTGAGCCACAGGCGCCACCCAAAGCCTCAGTTTCTTCTTAAAATGAGGGTTGAATTAGACAATGGGTGTCAGTGGTGAGTAAGACAATGGGTGTCAGTGGTGAGTAATCAGTGTAAATGTCAGCTTTCACGCTGAGTGATTAAAGAAGCAATGTAGCATTAGGAACGAGCCTGGCTTCCGGTTCTAATTCCCATGTACTATAAATTTCTTTCTCTATCAAATAGTATTAATAACAAACCATGGCAACCTCAGCAGGCTGGTGTGAGAGTGCATGTGATTATGCTGGTGACAGTGCTGAGTAAACCACCATGCAAGTCAGCTGTGTTTTCACCACAGACACATTAGCTGTTTTTACTACTGATATTAACCCCGAGTAAGCCACCATGCAAGTTAGCTGTTGTTTTCACCACAGACATGTTAGGTGTTGTTTTCACTACTGATATTAACCCTACATCTAGCACACAGAAGAGGTTACTTAGTTCAACATGGGGAGGATACCATCAGGCTCACACACACTTGCTGATAGCATTAGGACTGTAGTCTGGGCTAAGGGAAGGGTAAGGGGAGAGGGTCCCTCTGAGCACAGCTGCCCCCATCTCCTCATTAGAGAGCATCCCTGTGACCTCAGCCTCAGCCAGCCTCCTGAGATCTGGATTCACCAGGGAGGCCTGGAGGACTCCCAGTTGGAAATGTGTCTTCACTGATGCTTGCCAGAGAAATGCAGTCTAGTCAGATCTGTGGACAGGGCTTGATTCCTGAGGCTGCCTCACCATCTTGAGGACTGTGGGTGAAGGCGGGAGTGCAGGGAGGGGTGATGTCTGGTGGGGGGGGTCTTGCCCCTTTTCCCCCTGGGGTGGGGGAATCACTGGGGTTGGGCCTTTGCGAGTGCCCACAGTACAGCCTCCCAAGCTACTCCTGAGGCTGTCCCAGCCCCCACTGCTCACACCTGCTGCTGAGGGGCCAGCTCTCCCTCTACAGTCAGGCTCCTGCCTGCTCAGACCTCATGATCACGCCCACCACAACTTTTCTAGAGGCAGATTTACCATGAAACCAATGAAACACAGACTTTGGGGCCAGTCATTTGCATGAAACTCTCCTAATTTCTAATTCCATATTGTTTTTCAAAAGATGCCCCTAACTTGCAGGCTTTACACAACTGAGTCTGCCCCTGAGGTCTGCCCAGGTGTGATTTCTGGGCTTCTCCCTGTAGGAGAGGCCAGAAAGGGACAGGGGCGTGTCTGGACCAGTGGCGGCAAGAGCTGAGGCTTCCGGTTCTCGCCTCCTTTCCTGAGTAGCAGGCTACCTGGGATCTCTTTTGGCCACTAACTGTGTGGCACTGGACAGGCCATTTTCCCTTGTGGGCTCAATCTACTCATCTGTAAGCAGGAGAGTTGGACAAGAAAATTTCTCGGGCTGCTTTAGCTTCTACCTATAGCAGACTGAGAACAGTGTTAGGACCCTGTGGGGACAAGCTGGCTGACCAGGCTGATCAGCTCCTTCAGCCTGACCTCCTTCAGGGCCCTAGCTTACAATGACAGGCCCCTAGTTTGGAATCATCTCCTGCCCTGGGCGTAGCCTAATCTGGCTCTTGGAGTGAAGGAGCCCAGATGTGTGGGGGCCCAAGGGGAAAATAAGAATGGCCCATCCCCCAGTTTGGGGACAGAATTGTGGGGTAGGGGAAGGAAAAATTCACCGACAGTCATGCCTCCTGTTTCCTTCTGAATTTGAGACCACCCAAGTCAGAGTTGAGACCCCACACTACTGCCCAACTGGCCCCCCCTAAAATGGGACCTTAGTTCCTGGGGGAAGCACTGGGCTTACTTCTTATTAATCGAGTCATGATTAGGGCGGAGGTGGCTGAAGCAGTAGGGCTGAACTCTCAGGAGTTCACTGTTCTCTCAACGGGTGTGGGTGGTGGAGTTAGTCAGACTCAAGTTCAAATCCCAGCCCTCTTACTTCCTGGCTATGTGGCCTGGGGCAAATGACTCAGTGTCTCTGAGCCTTGATTTATCTTCAAAGCAAGGAACACTAATATCTACCTTTTAGGATTACTCTAAGGATTAAGTGAGATAATGTGTGTGAGAGTGCCTGGCACTTGGTAGGCCCTCACGGCCTCTCATCCTTAAAATATTATATGTACTCCTTGGAAAAGGGATGACTTGGGTGCTGCTGCCCCTGGGGGCTTGGGAAGCATACAAGGGAAAGGGGTGAAAGTGAGGTTGGGATCTTAGCAGGGAGCATGCACTGTCTGCCGGAGAAACAGGAGGCCCAGACACCTGCAGCCTCATGGGGTGAGTGGCAGAAATGAGAGCCCCTCTTCTCCCTCATCCCTTGCTCAGCTGGGGTCCTCTGTGGGAGGCCTGTAGCCCATGGGTGTGGGTAGGGCTCTGGGAAGAGGCCCTAGTGGCCTATAGAGTATGCCCCCGAATCCGTGGATTGCTTTTCCACCGTGGTCTGGTCACTGGGGTACACTGGGTTGGTCAAGGCAGCACCCTTCAGTGTCGTCTCGCTCACCTGCAGGCAGAAAGTCCTCCTATGTGCCCCCATTTGACAGACTCAGCAGTGAGGGCCCCTGACCTGCTTACTTATCCCAAGACTCTTTCCATGTAGCCCAAGGGCAAACAGAAACTTGAGCCATCCCATAGCTGGAAATGGAGAGGGGACGATGGAGCTGGGGCATGGGGAGGATGTTGGCAGTGACACTCCCAGAGCCCCTGAGATTCTTGGCCAAATTCTCTCTTCTGCCAACCCGAAATATTTAGTGAGGTCCAATGAACTCCCCTCCAGAAGATCCCCAAAGGGGAGTCACTCAAAGTCCGGAGGGGGCCAGCACCTGCTCTGCCCTGCCCCAACTCACCTCCTCAAACTTCTTGGCTTTGTACTGGTCGGCCCCCTTGAGGAAGTTGAGCAGGATGATGTCACAGAGAACAGTCCCCTAGAGGAGGAGAGGCAAGGCAGGCTCAGAGGGAGCCCTGGAGGGGTAGGGGCAGGGTGGCAGGAAGCAGTGGGCGCAGGCAGCCCCTGTACTGCCCAGGACAGGGTGGGAGGTGAGTCCTCCAGAGGGGCCTGGTGGATGATTCCGCTTAGACAAATGCCCAGGGGCTTTGAGGGACATCTTCATGGCCTGCTTTCTCAGCTCCTGGAGTCGCACAGACCACAACTAGGCAGAGAGAGGACTTGAGGGGTAGAAGTCTCTGGGAGCGGGCTTTGTCCCTGCCTAGCCACGTGGGCTCTGCTCCTCATCAAGGCATCTGTCTGTGGAAACCCTGGAGTCTTTCCCCCCACCTTCTGGGTAAGAAACAGCAACTTTGTAACAGGTGGAGCCTCTTGAAAATGGGAGGCTCTTTCCCGTGCTCTGTGCTCTGTGATTGGAGATGTTCCAGCTGGGGCCTGCGCGGCAGGGAGCTGGTGCAGGAGGCTGAGGTACCTTGCCCCCATCTCGCCCCTGCCCACCTGTGCCAGTCTGGGCCCCGCTCTGACTGGCCTCCTGTCAGTCTGGACTCACCACTCCCACAGAAGTAAAGGCCGCCACGGAGCTGATGATGGTGGGGATGATGTTGAACTTGCCAGCCTGTATGCAGAAAGACCAAGGCACGTGGGCAGAGGTGGGGTGAGGCCTGTGGCTAAACTTGGGGCCAGAAGGGTTTTTGGGAGATCAGCAGGAGACTGACCAGCTGAGGGTATCAAAGCTGGTTAGCACAGACCCTTGCTCCCTGGAGGAGCCTTTTCAGGGCCCACCAGCTGCTCCGGGCTGCCTCTCCTGTCCACCCCGGCTGCCTGGCCCCAGGACTCACATTCCCATACACCAGCACGTCGAAGCGGATGCCGAAAGCCTTCAGGAGTGTGCGGTACTCGCTGCCATTCTCCATCTTGTAGTACTTGGCAAACCTGGGGGTCACAGGTGAAGGTGGGTCTCACTGTGTGTTCCCATCTCTCCCTTCTGAACTTTGTCTCCTCTAGAGCCTTGTAACTCTACCTACCAAGCAACCCTTGCCATGGTTTCTGAGATACCTGTCACGGTTCCCCTTCTGCTCTGGCGTCATAATGGGGGCTTGTTAAAAAAGCAGATTCCTGGATTTGACCTTGAACTCATAAAATCAGCATGTCTGTGGTGGAGCCCTGGATGCTGCCTTTTAAATAATTTCCCCAATAATTCTGGTGTGTACAAAGGTTTGAGCTGTGGCTGGACACCAAGCTTCTTCCATTCTGACTTTTGGGTCTCTTGGGGCCTCAGTCCCCTCCACAAGCCTCTCTGCCACTTACTGACTGTGCAACCTGGGCCAGTTATTTAGCCTCTCTGAGACTCAATTTCCTTTTTTATGAGTGGGAATAATACAAAAGTCTCATTTCATAAGGTTGCCAAGAGAATAGAGTGAAACCACTTGCACTGGGGGGTTTAGAATAGTGCCTAAAACATAGTAAGCACTCAGGAAATATTTGCCGATGTTCTTATTGCTAAAGGAATATGTTTACATGTATAGAACAATTTTTTTTAAAAAGTGCATCCAGACACCTCATCTCCTTTTATCTGTGCAACAAACCTATGGGATAGTGCTGGTTTGAATGCCCCCTCCAAGCCTCATGTTGAAACTTAATCCCCAGTGTGGCAGTATTGAGAGTCAGAGCCTTTAAGAGGTGATTGGATCTTGAGGGCTTTGCCCTCATGAATGGATTAATCTATTCATGGATGAATGGATTAATGGGCTATCCTGGGAGGGGGACTGGTGGCTCTGTAAGGAGATGAAAAAGACCTGAGCTAGCACATTAGCACGTGCCCTTGCCATGTGATACCCTGCGACAGCTCGACATTCTGCAGAGTCCCACAAGCAGGAAGACTCTCGCCAGATGTGGCTCCTCCACCTTGGATGTCCCAGTAACGGTAAGAAATAAATTCCTTTTCTTTATCAATTACCCAGGTTCATCTATCCTATTATAAACACAAAGATGGACTAATACAGATGGGCATGCGGCTGCTCTATTTCTCAAATGAGTCTCCTAGAGAGGTTAGTTGGCTTGTCCAGGGACACTCAGCCGAGGAGACCCAGTGCTGGATTTGCACAAGTTCAAGACTTTGACCTCTACACCTTCTCTGCCTTGGCTGCTGGGTACCATGTACCAGACTGGGATCTCAGGAGAGTGATCAGAGGTGGGTGTTCAACACGGGTGTGTGTGTGTGTGTGTGTGTGTGTTCACACCTGCATTTTGTAGATCCTATGGTGGAGAAGAGATTCACTTGCAGTTTTATAGTTATTAATTGTCAGACTTGGGATGTGAACTGCAGCAGTTTGGGGCTTCAAAAGCCAATGCTCATTCCCCAGGTAGCTCTGCCCATCGTAGGCAAAACACTAACTCTGGTAAAGTGTGATCTCTTTGGGCTACTCTCCCACAGCTGTAAAGTGGGTTTCTGAAGATGGTATCTTTGAAAAGTGGTGAGGATTGAGTGAAATGCTGGGAGTGAAAGGGCCCAGAAAGCTCCTTGATGGTGTGGGGTCAACATCACTCTTACTCTGTGCGTCCCTTTCAGTGTTTCCACCCCCACAGGCTCCCAGGCCTCCCCCAGCAGGGGTCTGGAAACTCATTCCCTGAAAGTGTTCAATGATTGATATGATCCTCCTCCCAGAGATATTTGCATTTGAAACCATACACCAGGGAGAAGCAACTGCTCAGCTCGGGTGCATCAATAATGGAGGGTTACAGACACAGGAGGAAGAAAATTTGTGATGGGGAAGGGTCACCTTAAATCATAAAACATCTGCCACTGTCTACTCGGGCTGCCATCTGGTCATGGGGAACTTAGGAGTCAGGCAGAAATGAACCTAACTCCTGGCTGCACCATTTGCCAGCAGCTTGGCCTTTTATGCTCCTTAGCCCTTAGAAGGGGTGTCAGTTTCCTTGTCTGTAAAGTCGGGTGTGCTCCTGCCCCCTCACAGGTCTGCTGGGGAGATGGGTAAACACTTGCTGAGATCAGCCCTTCTAGCTGGGCACCATGGAGATTCTTTTGTTAGATATTCTGTCTGCTCCTCCACACCCATTTCCTGCCCCTTCTCTGCCCAGCTCTGGGCTCCTGGAAGCCTGTTCTGCAGAGATGAATTACAACCTGTCCTCTGTTTCTTGGTGGGTACAGTTGATGGGAGGCACTGACAGGGAGGCAGAGGGCAGAGGAAAGAAAGGTTCAGAGTGTTTAATCTACTGAGCTTCTAACACTGGCTTAGCTCTCCGGGTTCTGGGAACTGCTCCCTCCCCTTGCCCCTGCCAGCCAAGGTGGTCCCCGGGTTGCCAGCCCTGAGGTCCTTCACCAGCCTTGTTGGCATCCTTTAACCCGAGTGCAGGTACCTGTATGCACAAGTCCCTTCATTCAGTTGCCCCTCTTGAGGCCACTCACTGTCCCCTTTCAGAACAAGCACCCCTACCACCCTCATTCCACAGGACAGGAAGCTCAGGTCCGGAGAACTTTATCTGGGTCAGGAAGGAGTGTGGGAGAACAGGTGGCACATTTTCTGTCTCTGCCTGAATGTGGGCGTGGCCAGAGCTTTTGTGCCTGAGTGATGCACCTGTTACCTTGCATGAGGCTGAAAACTACTCAGTGAGAGAAAGGTTTCTGGGAGAACCCGACCTGAGAAGGTGTTTCCCTGCAGGCTTTGCAGCTGAAGGCAAAGGCAGAGAGATAAGGGGGTCTTCTCAAGAGAGCGTAAGACCCAGGGTAGAAGTGAGAGTGGCCCTGGAAGGAGGCTGAGAAAGGAGAGGAGGGGCTCACCTATCTTTAACACTATGGTAAATTATGGTCTGGGTGGTAGGGGAAGGGGGCTTCACAGCCAAGGCAAAGCAGAATGAATTTTAGTCATGGCAGCAGAGGTTAGTAGGAGACACCCGAAAGGACACCGTATCTACAGAGATGATGAGGTCCAAGAGGCCTTTCAGAATAGTTTAGAGAAGACTAGAGAAGTCTCTGGAAGGGACAGAAGGCTCTAGGAGGTACCAACTGTGGCTTTCAGGTTGGCCTGAGGGTAAGTCTAGACCAGGAGTCCTCAAACTTTTTTTTTTTTTTTTGAGACAGAGCCTCAAGCTGTCCCCCTGGGCAGAGTGCCGTGGCATTACAGCTCATAGCAACCTCCAACTCCTGGGCTCAAGCGAGTCTCCTGCCTCTGCCTCCCAAGTAGCTGGGACCACAGGCGCCCGCCACAACGCCCGGCTATTTCTTGGTTGCAGCCATCATTGTTGTTTGGCGGGTCCGGGCTGGGGATTCGAACCCGCCACCTTAGGTGTACGTGGCTGGCGCCTTAGCCGGTTGAGCTATAGGCGCCGAGCCGAGTCCTCAAACTTTTAAGCACGGGGCCAGTTCACTGTCCCTCAGACCATTGGAGGGCCGGACTGCGGGCCCCGGGACAAGTCGGCTGCTAAGCAGAACAGGCAGCGGTGGCAAAAACATCCGGTGGGCCATATAAATGTCCTAGGCGGACCACATGTGGCCTGTGGGCTGTAGTTTGAGGATGCCTGGTCTAGACCATCACCGCTCCACACTCATGTTTAGAGGGCCCCAGGAAGAGATGCAAATCCCTTGCTATGAGGACCTCCACCAATCTCACGAAGACTACACTGTTGCTGACCTATTTTATAGGTGAGGAGACAGATGAGAATGTAACTTTCCTGAGCTGGGGTTCTGAACAATACTGATGCCTCTAAAATCCATGCTTGTGCCCTCTGAACTGTCCTGCCTCTGAGCTCTAGGTGGCTGTTAAGGAAGAGACAACCTTTGTGCAAGATCTCGGAGCCCTTCTAAATCCTGTGTTCTGTTTCACATCATTGAAGAATTCAAGGCCTTATCTCAGAGATGTGGCAACGGCTGCCCATAGGGACTAATCAAAGGTGACAGGGTGAGTCACAGATGTTTGTGGCAGGGCAAAGGCTGGGGCTGTGGTCCTGAAGTAAGTCTTCATTGCTGGCCTAAGGCTGCAGCCATGAAAACGGCTTTGACACTGACTCGAACAAAAAGTTGCATCCCGGGCACTGCCGTTCAAAGCAAGGGCTGGCTAAATTTATCCTGGGAAGGAATGTGAAAGGAACAGGGAGAAAAATCAAAGCAGACTTGGTTTTTCTCCAGCACCTGCCTTCCAAGAGGCAGTAAGCTTGGTAAGATCATTATCTCACCAGCCACCCACCCTCTGAGGAGGCTTGGCAGGATGGGTGCTCTTCCCGGGTGGGAGGGAGGAGGAACAGAGCTCAGGGAGGGCAGGCCCAGGCTACAGATGGGGGGATGAACTGGGACTCCCAACTTCTGCACTCCAGTGTGGTCAGTGGGAATGCAGAACCTGGGCCACCCCTGCAGCAGAGATAGCATGGCGGTCACCTGGGTTATGTCCTCTCTTTGTACGCCATTGGACCACTTCTCCCCAGCCCTTGCATCTAGAGCCCCAGTGACCGAGAGTAGAGCAGGGCCCTGTGACTAGTTCCTGCCAATGAAATGGGAGTGGAAGGGAGGTTTGTTAGTCTGTGCTGAGGTGGTTTAGAGCAGTGTGCTTTCTGCATCCTCCCTTTCCTCACCTGATGGCCAGCTGCTCAGGGGCCAGGGGAAGACTCTGAGGCCCTAGGGTGGACTGGTAGTCAAAAGATAGCAGGAGACCAGGTCCCTGAATGCACAGAGCTCCCCAGCCCCACTAGCCCACAGTGCACTGAGCCACAGCAAGAATGACACCTTTGTATTAAGCCACCGTGTTGAGGGGTTTGTTTGTTAAAGCAATTAGCAATACTAACCCTGACTGGGATGATTGAGGTTCAGGAAGGAGAAGTAATTTGCTGAAGGACTAAGGATGAGTTGAAGCTGAGGAGTTACTCAGGATTAGACAGGGAGTGGGCAAATCCCCATCAAGCTGCGCCCTAGGAAAAAGCTAAGA